CTTTCGATGGGGCGCCGTTGGTGCCAGTGTCGGAGGTTAGAAGTTTGGGAGTGCTCCTGGACCCCTCCTTAACTATGGAGGCCCAGGTGGCAGCCACTGCCAGATTGGCATTTTACCATCTTCGGCTGATGCAGCTGGCTCCCTTCCTCAGCCGCGATGACCTGGCTACAGTGATCCATGCGACGGTCACCTCAAGGTTAGACTACTGTAACGCTCTCTACATGGGGCTGCCTTTGGGGCAGATCCGGAAGCTGCAGCTAGTGCAGAATGCGGCGGCCAGGCTGATGATGGGCCTCCCCAAGTGGGAGCACATCCAGCCTGGACTGAAAGTGCTGCACTGGCTGCCAATAGCATACCAAATCTGCTTCGAAGTGCTTACCTTTAAAGCCCTACATGGCCAGGGTCTGACTTCCCTTTCCTCACATATACCCCCAAGAGCACTTTGGTCCGGGACACAACATCGCCTGGTGGTTCCAGGCCCCGAGGGGCAAGGCTTGCTGTGGTGGCCCCTACCTGGTGGAACCAGCTCCCAGAGGAGATCAGGGCCCTGCGGGACCTTATGCAGTTCCGCAGGGCCTGTAAGACGGGGCTCTTCCGCCAGGCTTTCGCATAGGGGCCGCCACTACCACCACCACCAATGCGGTGGACAACATTGGGGTTAAGGATGCCCCGGGAAGATCCGCCACAATTTCTGCATGACTAATACCACTGGATTTACCTGGTTAGGATACGCTATAGGTTAACATCATCCCTGGAGAACTGTCTGTTTACCATCTGGCATGTATCCGGAGACCATCTTGTTTTTAAATTGAGTACAACTGTTATTAATGTTTTTATTGTTTTTATCTGTTTTATATGGGCTTTGCGGGGAGGGGAGGGTAAAAATCTCAATAAATAAATAAATAAATAAGATTACCTGCCTCCAGCTCTGGGGCACAGGGTTGGCCTCAAGTTACAACCAGTTTCCAAATTACATAAATTCCTCTGCACAAAATGGCAGCTTCAGAAGGCAGAATCTATGACATCACATCCTACTGAGTTCCTTTCCCAAAATCTCCAGGAATTTTCCAAGATGAAGTTGACAAGCCTAGTCAGGGTTGCCATCCTCCAAGTGGAGCCTGGAGTTCTCCTGGAATTACAAGTAATCTATCTCTGGACTACAGAAATTATTTCCCGGGAGGAAATGGCACCTCTAGACAGCAGAGCTTATGGCATTACAACCAGCTGAGCTCCCGCCCCCCCCCCTGCAAATTCCGCCGTCTCCAGGCACCACCCCCTAATATCCAGCAACTTTCCGCGCTGGAGTTGGCCGTCCTGAGCCGCCCACTGATTCTTGTCCTCCACACCCAGTGTCCTGGGGTCAAGCAACAGGGGGCTGCTATCCTCCCCGTGCATGCTTTGAGGAGGAAGGCAGGAAGGAAGAATTTCGGTTTGAAGGGTTTCAATGTGAGATATTAATCCTGCAGTTTTCTTTTCCATAGCGCTTCCTCCCGTCGACCTGTCCCTTGCCTCTCGACTTGCTGGCGGCGGGTTTGCATCCTGATTTGCATGAAGAACTTGTTTGGCTTCGCTGCAGGGCTCGGATTACCGCGCTGCCTCGTGGCGCAGGTAGCTCGGGAGAGGCGTGGAGGCCCCCAGCGGCACAAAGACGGCGGCCACCTCCTCCGGAAGAGGGCAAAGAGCGAGAGCTGCGTCCCCTCCCGAGGCCTGACGCACCAGGCGGGCGGGGTTCCCTCGCCCACCAGGTGAACCCTCCCAGCGCGGCACACTCCGCCCCTCCGTCGTCCTCCTTCCCCCTCGCACGGCTGGGCGGCCCCATTTCCTTAGCGGCCAGAGGGCGAGGGTAGGCGCCGGCAGCAGACTCGGGACCAGAGGGGAACGTTTGAAGCCGAGGAGGAGACGGGAAGAAGCTGCAGCCTCGCCATGGCTTGGCCTCTGGGCGCAGGACTTGAGCTTTGGCTCCTTTGGGTGAGTCTGTTTAGTGGTCGTGTTTGAGCAGCCCACTTGTAGCTCGCCCGCCCTCGAGAAAAGGGCCGGCCGGTTGAAGGCGCTCTGGCGCCTCGGAAGAGATTTGTCCGCGCTGTCCAAAGAGGGGCGCGAAATTAAAACGCCTGGGTCTCTGCGGACGGAGCGGTCTTGCCTTTCCTCCTGCAGCCGCGGAATGAACTCTGCGCTGTGAAATGAGGAGAGCAAACGTGCGCCGCGGGGGAGGGGGCAACAGGCCAAGCGGGGCTTGCTGGGACGCTGACTGCTTCCCGATCCCGGCAGCCCGCGCCACGCCCTGCCTGCGGGCAGCCTCACCTGCAACGGTAAATGTGACGGGCTCCGTGCCTGCAAGCACCTAGACGGAGCGGGAAAGGCGAACGCTGGGCTGGCGTCGTCCTGAAACACCCGGAACGTTGCGTTTTCGGGAAACTGGGAGTTTTCCTTCAGATTTGTTGAAAAGTGGAAAGTCTCCTGTTGCAAAACAAAAACCGGGAGTTCTTCGGGAGGAGGGATTTTATTTGAATTTAAAAATGCCTTAATTTAAAAAGAACGTGGCAATAGAATTAATGTGTAAGAATTGGGTTGTGCTTTGATGTATTTTTTTAAAATACTGACACATTCTTACTAGATCTGGGTGGGCAGCAGCCCTGTTGGTCTGAAGCAGTAGAACAAAGGTTGAGTCCAGTGGCACCTTAAGACCAACGAAGTTTAGTTCTGGGTATCTTAAAGGTGCCACTGGACTCAAACTTTGTTCAACATTCTTACTAGTTTGATGGTCTCTGTACAACTGCCCAGATTCTACAAGAGCCTTTTTGACTTTTTCTGGTTTACAAAACAAGATTATAAACAGCCTGTGTTCAGTTCAAGGAAGTTGGTGTCACCTCCAGGCAGTGTTCCGTCTAAACTGAGTTAATCTGAGCTAGCTCACGGTTCTCTAGCCTCCAGATTACACATTTTTGTCTTGGTTCAGGAAGGATGGCTTCAGAGCAAACTAATTTATGCAGTAGCCAAATCACTCGCTCACAGCTTTAATGCCAGTAGCTCACAAAGTAGAATTCTTGCTCACAAGACTCCAAAGCTTAGAGGGAGCGTTGCCACCAGGTGATCAAGCACAACAGCCTGTTGTAAATGGTTTCAGGAGGGTAGCCCTGTTGATCTGCAGTAGAAGAGCTGGATTGGAGACCAGTAGCATCTTAGAAACCAACAAGATTTTTTGGTTATAAGCTGTTGAGAGTCAGAGCTCCCTTCATCTGAGGAAATTTATTCCACGAAAAACTTGTTGGTCTCTGAGGTGCTATTGGCCTCGAATCAAGCTCTTCTGTAAATGAGAAAAAGAGGTGTTTCGCACTATTATCAATAGTGAGCAGTGTTCACTCTAAGCTGAGTTAGTGTGAGCTAGCTCACAGTTTTTTAGCCTCTGGCTCACACATTTTTGTCTTAGCTTAGAAAGGATGGTTCCAGAGCAAACCAATTTATGCAGTAGCCAAATTGCTCACTCACAACTTTAATGCCAGTAGCTCACAAAGTAGAATTTTTCCTCACAAGACTCCACAGCTTAGAGGGAGCATTGGTTGTGAGTTCCATAAATGATTAACATTAGGAAGTTGTGGGCTAATAGACTTATAAACATAAAGAGCTTTTGTGAATTTGTTATTGTTAGTTGAAAAGGTCACTACTGGAGACTTTTTTCCTTTGCTTATGATGTCTAAGGAAGTTTGACCTTTTTTTCTCCTGTGCAAATAATTGTATTTTTCCTCTCTGAGAATAGTCCCCCAGTGTTCTTATTTTATGGGGAATCTTTTTGAAATAAACTGGTAGGAATCAGAAGATGTATTGGAAGTTCAAATGAGTTATTAATCCCTCTGTGCGAATGTGGCTTTCCAAAGGAAATAAAATATTCTTTCCCATCAGTTCTAGATAGATTTACTTCCTGGATCAGTGCCCTGATATTTCGGATTACCTATACCACCAGAGGGTGTAATTTGACAGCCTGCTACTTGACAAAACTGCACAAGACATTTCTTGGCATACTTCAGGGAATGAGGAAATTTTTAAGAATCACAGTATGTGTGGGTTCCATCATACTTGGATATCCTTGCATCCTTAGAGAAATTCGGTGTGGCAGCTATTGTCATTTGATTTGACCCCCACAAGGTATACACAGGGAATAATCTTAGCTAGGACTTTCCTTGGAAAGTGTTAACTATGTCAAGGCTCAACCTTTGAACATATGTGCTTTGGTGCTTGGGGGGGTCAACAGTGGGAGGGCTTCTAATGTCCTGGCCCCACTGGTGGACCTCCTGATGGCACCTGGTATTTCTGGCCACTGTGTGACACAGAGTGTTGGACTGGATGGGCCTTTGGCCGGATCCAACATTGGCGTCTCTTATGTTCTTATATGACAAACTGATAAAGTAGAGAGTATCTCTGAGCACACATGGAGGACCTCTTGAATTGCTGCCAGTCTGCCTCACACCAGTCCCATTGGTGTGGTAAATCTGGAATGATTCTTCACCCTGAAACTGATCTTTAACACTACGGGAAAGCTGGAATCTTCAACTATAGACAGGACCAGCATCAGCATACCCTCAGGTTGGGCAGCTGCCAGGGCTCAGGAGTTCTGGGGGGGCCCACTGCTGCTACCAACCCTCCCCCATATGCCATTTCCCCTCTTGCTGACTTGTGAGTGTTCACCACCCATGCATCCAGCTGCACACACTGCCCAGTGCCATCAGGGAAAGGGCTGCGAGCAGTGCAGATGGCTGTGAGGGTGGGCAGTGAAAGGGCTTGTGAGCAGGGTAGAGAGGAATGCACAGGCAGGTAGTGAGACACATGGGTGAGTGGATGAAAAGGGGGCCCTTGGGAACTCTCTGCCCAGAGCCATGCCATGCAAAATCTGGAACCGGCCCTGACTACAGAACAAAGCCCAGACTGAGAAATATGACTGTATATACATGAGGCCCTTGGCATGTGTGTTTAAGAAGGGTTTAATTTCAAAAAAATGAACGGTGCTGGAGTTAGAAATTAAGCACTGCTTAAACATGTTGATGGTCAAGGTTTAACTATAAATAACAGTGAATATCTTTTGCCTGGTGGAACAAGCTCCCATTTGAGATCAGGGCCCTGCGGAATTTGTTACAGTTCCGCTGGGCCTGCAAAAAGGAGTTGTTCCACTGGGCTTTCAGTTGAGGCAGCAGGCGTCCAAATTCCGTTCCTGGCCTTCCCTGCTGACAGGCCTAGCCTAGTGGTTAGTGGCTTGATGCTCCACAACACCACTCAGAAGATTTCCATCTGAGCATCAGCACCGAGGTGACTTTTGATTTGGTTTTTTTGTATGAAATTTCTGAAATTTTAATGGTTTGAGTTTTTATATTGTCTCTCTGTCATGGTATTTTTGTGACCTTGTAAGCCGCCCTGAGCCACCACCCCCTATATTGGAAAGCCTGAACACCAGGTCGTGACGTCACAGCAGTGGTGACCAGGGTAGTCATAACATTCCCTGTGTGGCTGACTCGAGCAGGAGAAGACTACGTTGGTCTCTTTCTCCCGGGCTGGTTTTCTCTGCAAAAACGAGGGAGGCTTTCTGGAGTTGGTTTGGGGGGGGGGTTGTGTGGGGTTTTTTGCACAGTGGCCATCTTTATTTTCTCGGAAGGAAGAGGACTCATCTTGCTTGCTTTTGGAGGACTCTGGACGTGATGATTCCCCGAAGCTTCCCTTTCCCCTCCCCCCGGTCTTTGCAAACGAGAGACGCTTGCAAAAATCAGGGTTTCCCCCCCTCGTTTTGGAATGGAATACCGAGAGATTGGAGGGAGATTCCCCGAAGCTTCCCTTTCCCCTCCCTTCCCCCCCTCCCCCCCGGTCTTTGCAAAAGAGAGACGCTTGCAAAAATCAGGGGTCCCCCCCCCATTTTGGAATGGAATACCGAGAGATTGGAGGGAGATTGAAAAAGTTAATCTGACCGGAGCGGGATCCATATATATATGGATGCCTCTACATAGGTGAACAGAAAATTAGCATATAACAATGTCTATATACATATGAACTATCAATTTCCATTTCAGTGTATCTGAGGAAGTGTATGTGCAAATGAAAACTCGTGCCTTGAATAGAACTTTGTTCTAGTGGTGGGTTTGTTTCCTCTTCCTGCATATCAGGCAGGTTGCTTCCATCTATGATGAAGGAGAATCAGAAGAAGAGAATCAGAAGAAGAGCCTCAGGCTTCCTCTGATCATCCCCCATCTTTTCTGCGGCAGTTGCCAGGAATAGACTCAAAGCAACTGGTTGACAATATACAATGAGCACAATTAGCCAACAGTGTGCGCAACATACGTGTGAAGGGATAGACTTATGGGAGGGGCTGTGGCTTAGCGGTAGAGCATCTGCTTTGCATGCAGAAAGTCCTCATTTCAATCTCCAGCATCTCAGTGAAAAGGATAAAGTAGTAAGTGATGTGAAAGACCTCCACCTGAGCTCCTTCCCACTGCAGCCTAGTGATCTGCTTGAAATGCTGTTCTGGGGGGATAGGGGGACCCTGAGGAATGGCATGAAGGAAATCTGCAGTGGATGGGGTGGGGCATTTGACATTGCCCATTTAGTCTGGATTCAGCTCCAGGCTGCTTGGAATTGGAGGACTCTGCCCTGGTGACAGGGTGATGGGTCTCACAATCCCTCTCCAGTGTGTGGCAGAAAAATAGGCAGGATCCCAAATGGATCATATCTGTACATTTTTTTGGAGAATGTAATAGAATAGCAGCCTTTGAAGCCAGGGAGTTTGTGTTGTACAACAGCTAGAGGGTTTGCCTGTAAGCTGGGAGAGACATTTCCGATAACCCATGAACTTGTTGTGCACCCTTGGGCTCCTCGCTGCTCTTTTATAATTGAAGTTTACTGTATGTGAAAACATCTTACCTAAGTATGAGTTTGTACATATTAATATCTCATGCTGTGTCAATGGTAGATAAAAAGTAATACTGAAAATCAAA